TTTCGTGGTGCTCCTAGATGTTCTCGGGGTATATGGATATATATAGGAGGAAGAAGTACATCGGTGGAGCAACGAGGGGCCCACGAGGGGGAGGGTGCGCCCAGGGGATAGGCACGCCCCCTACCTCGTGGCCGCCTCGTTGATTGCTTGACGTCCACTCCAAGTCCTCTGGATCACGTTCATTCCAAAAATCACGTTCCCGAAGGTTTCATTCCGTTTGGACTCCGTTTGATATTCCTTTTCTATGAAACACTGAAATAGGCAAAAAAACAGCAGTTTGGGCTGGTCCTCCGGTTAATAGGTTAGTCCAAAAAATAATATAAAAGTGTAAAATAAAGCCCATTAACATCCAAAACAGATAATATAATAGCATGGAACAATCAAAAATTATAAATACATTGGAGACATGTCAACGTCCACCTTCTGGTCACTTATGGTGTACAATATGGTGCACGGGGTTACGCCGGCATGCAAAGACATGTCTGTGATGTGAGACATCCGAAAGGCAATGGAAATGGGAGATTATACATTTATTTAAGAGGGCCAGTGTGACATGTATCGTGAGCGCGTCGACTCAGCCAAATACGAAGCACCGCCGAGCACGTCTGAGACGGAGGACGGGCTGCTATGAGCAGGTGCGGGAGCCGGTGCAGGTTCTGGTGCAACGCTAGTCGAGCTGCTCCCGAACAAGCCGGCAAGGGGAAAGTCCGCTGCATTTTTATTTGGATTTTGCCTGCTCCAACTGACAATGACCGGAACCAAGACACCAGACAAATCTGCAATTGCCTGTTTTGCGGTAGCTACCGCTGTTGCAACTGTCTCAGCTGATTTCTTCTCAACTGCAACCTCAACCTTCTTATTGATGTTTTCTTCAGTTAACCTTTGTCTTTCCTTTCTCTCCTCCGTGGTCTCACGGTAGTACTTCTTCCACGTGGCTCCATCTCTGACACCGTGCACGTGTCCATACGACGGCCGAGTGTCCACCGGGAGTCGTTTCAATATGTTCAATGCCCAGTTGAATGGGGTGTCCCACTTGGGCCTCGCCAATGCCTCAGATGGCGAGTCGCTTTCGGCCGCAATCCTGTGCTGCTCTCTCTACAAAAGGAACAAGGATCATTTACAAATATGACTAAATGTGCAGTCAAATTGATCAGAAACTAAAATTACCAGTAGTCTCATGAACTCCGTCGTGACCGGGTCCATCTCAAAAACCTTCTTGACTGGGTCCCAATGGTACCGGGTCCTGAGGACGTCACGCTCCTGCGGGACGGTGAACTCCGCTAAGGGGTCTGGGATGCCCAGACTTTCGTGTTCTGCATCCTCCTTGGCCCATATGGACCTCTTCCCTGCGTAACCGCGGCTTCCGAGGTGGTGGCACCCCATGTTCCTCTCTTGAATCCCCTTCATGTACTTTGACTTTTCTTTGGTAGCTTCGGCAATGCAAGCCGCCTTGAATATTTCAAACTGCTCTTTCGTAATTGTCGGATTATCCTTTACAATCTTGGAGTAGGGCTCCTTTTTCTCAATGATCCATGCTTTCACCCTTACTTTCCAGGCGGACAACGCGCCGCTAATTTTGCCCATGGCGCGTCTGTTTATCTTCTTCATTGCCGGGTCTATCTGGCTTTTTATATTTGCTTTCATCCCGGCCCAGGAACAAGAACACCTGGTGCAGCTTCGTTAGGAGGGTCTGCTTCACATATGGCATCTTACATAGTTTCACATCGTTGATGGCGGCGCAAGCCCGTAGTATGCATCCTATTTTATTGTCATAGCACGCGCGTGCTTCCGCGGGCTCTTTTGGCTCAAAATTGCCGTCATCCACCTCCATGACCACCACTCTAGTAGTGATGAGGTGGTTTGGGCTCCATTGCCTCTTTGCTTTCGGTTCTATACCGACTCCGCCAGTCTCGGTGCCTGTCTCAGTCTCAGCGTCGGTCTCGATGTCGGTCTCAGTCTCTGATGCGATAGGTGGGCCCAGCAAGAACAATCGTTGATCGTCGGCAAGGTTCAAAAATTCGTCTGACGCCCGGTAGATGTCATCACAATCACTAGAACCCTGTCCTTCATTGTTGCTAGCCATGTTTCCTACGATTAAATCTAGTCAATTAACTGTAGACCTAATAAAATGAATAATGACATAAAAAGGCCTATGTTTTGCAGGAACATTGATTACTTCTCGGTGCGCCAAATCCTGGGCACTCGATATGTCCTAGTTTGCAGCACAAGTCATGCCAAAATTCATGGAAAATTTCGGCATGACCTTTTGCTAGAAAGTGGACAAATCAAGCACCTGAAATTTCCCGGAACGGAAATTTATCAACATTCCGGCAAAACATAGGCCACTCGGCTTCATTCCCTGGAAACAACAAAGGCCACTTGGGCACAATCGAACCACTTCAATAAAAATATATAACATGACCACTTCAATGAAAAGATGTAATCAACAATAAAAGTCTAGGAAGGAATCATCTTTAAAATAAAACTTGCCTAAATTATTTTCCTTGAAAATTAGTGGTCTTTTCAAAAATCAAAACCTTTGCAAAATGACCTCACTAAACACTTCTCTGCCTACGACAGAACCCAAATTTTGTTCTACTTATTCCTCACACACACACTGTTTTCTTTTCATACAAATTGTTTTAGAGCAAATATTCCAACAATACTTGACCTTATTAGAAATTGCAAAGCAACTCCATTTTCTCTAACCCTTCTGACCTCACCAAAATTTTCATAGCAAGACCTTAGTACCTACACCCAATTTCTTCAAAAATATTCAGGTCCATAGTCCAAATAATTCAAATTTCATTTTAATGGAGTTTCGACCAGATTCAGATCCATAGTCCAAACATTTCTTTATAGCTAAATGCTACTATTTTTGGTTTATAGCCTCTATTAAATTAAAGCTAAATGCTGCTATAATTTATATACCCTCTGTTAATTTAAAGCTAAATGGAATTACTGTTTAGGCATTTTCATCAAAATTTGCCCTAGCTAATTTCCTAAAAAATTGCTCATCTTTTTTCCTAAATTCTAAAAAATGCCTACTGCCCTAAACAAATCTAGGGTTCATATGAACACCTAGGGTTCATATATATGAACATCATCAAGCAGCAACATGTGAATTGCCCTACCAGAGAGAGAGAGAGAGAGAGAGAGGAGAGGAGAGGGAGAGCCTTATAGTCGATAGCGAGGGCGGGCTCGGGCTCGTGCGGCAGTGGTCATGGGCGGGCTCGGGCGGCGGCGGTGGGGTCGAGGGCGGCAACGATGAGATTGAGGGCGGTGACGGTGAGGTCGAGGGCGACCTCGGGCGGCGGTGGTGAGGTTGAGGGCGGCCTCGGGCGGCGGCAGTGAGGTCGAGGGCGTGCGCGGTCGACGGCGGTGACAGAGGAGTTGGGGGAGTTGGGGGAGAGGGGGGAAAGGACTTAGCAAAATTTTGAGCCCGCAAGCGGTTAAGTCAAACTAGCAGTTGCGCTGGTAGGAGAAAAGCGCTACTGCTAAGTTAGCTATGGCGCTTTCGGCCAAAATGCACTACTGCTACAGGAAGTAGCTATTTATTTTCCTTTTTCTTTTTCTTTTATCTAAGTAACTTAGCTATAGTGCGGGAACACAAAACGCACTACTACTAAGGTAGCTATAGCGCCTTGTGAGAGCAAGCGCTACTGCTATGCCTTTCTCCATTATTTTTCTTTTTCTTTTCTTTTTATTTTTTTCATTTCTCCTTTTTCTATTACTTTCATTTTCATTTACTTTTCTACTTAATTTCTTTTTCTTAGCAGTAGCGCTCTACAACAGAAACACGTTGCTACAAGGCACTTAGCAATAGCACGTTTCCCTTAGGCTCGCTACTACTATTTCTAGCCTACCAGCAATAGTGTGGGAATTATAGTAGTAGCACTTTTCTAGGAAGACGCGCTACTGCTACAACTATAGTTGTAGCGAGCTTTTATGACACGCGCTACTACTAAGTAGCAGTAGGGCTTAGTTTTGACCAGCGCTACTGCTATACCTCTGTGTATAAGATTTTCCCTAGTAGTGAAGGAGTGTGAGGATGCTCGCTATTAGTAGAGACAGATGATGTCTGAACACCCTTCCCCTTCGGGATATGTTGTTTGCGTACTTGAAGCACACCGATATGGATTTTACCAAAATGGTTGTCAGCATTCAAACTAAATAGCAATCCCAGATGCTCATCACAAGTTAATGGCACAAATCTCTACTCGGTACTGTCGAAATATCTCAGTTCAACAGCATCGGCAGGGCTCCACGGATACTCACAACAAAGTGCCTTGTGGAAATCTGTGAACTAAACGCTGGTTTCTACCACTTTAGGATAGAAAAATCCAGAAATCAAACACGATTTAGTTCCACGCAGCTCACTAGTTTCCATTCTAATCGCCAGCCGAAAAGCAAGTGCAGGATCAACCCAATTCGATTTAAATAAGATAAAGGGTGCAGTTAGGCTGAATTTATTTAGATAAATTGCACTGATTCACGCCAACAGTGGTTAAATATAGCCTAATTTATGGATCTCCTAATCAATTTGAGAGGGAAATGATGCTTACCCAGGTGGAATCCATGAATTATCCGCCTCTTACTCGACCCAATCATCTCCGCGGTCGATGGGCCAGACGGGGTGCTCCCCTGACATTGCTTCCTAATCCTAGATGGGGAGAGAGGGTAGACGCGGCAAAGGTGGCACGACGGCGGCGGAGGGGGCGGCGCGGAAGCGACTCGGTCTGATTCAGGTTATAGTCAGTGTCAGTTTCATGACCCCACTCATTAGCACATTATGATCAAAATGTGGACTCGGCCCTACGCGGCCCCACTCGTCAGAGTTAACAATCAAGCCATTGACCCGACGGCAACGTTCGTTGTGACTAGTTCTGAGGGTTTCGGGGAAGCGAGTGGGGAAAAGTGAGCAAAAGTTAAGAGCGTGGGGATGAATGAGTAGAACTAAGGAACCAGGGGCACAGAAATAAAAATCCCAATAGAAAAATATGGGACAAAAAATAAATCCACTCGGTTTTAGACTTGGTACAACCCAAAAACACCATTCCTTTTGCTTCGCACAACCAAAAAATTATTCTGTAGGTCTATAGGAAGATAAAAAATAAGGATGTATCAAGAACTATATACAAAAGAATAGGAAAAAGGGGTCGAATAGAAAAATAGAATCATACTCAAGTTCTGAAGTAATTACACATAATAGAAAAATGAACTCAGGTTCAAGTTCCAAAGTAATTACACATATAGAAATCCAAAAAGGAAACGATACGATCCATGTCATAATCCATATTGGATTACCAAATTTATTAAAGAAAAAAGGAGCAATCGAAGAATTAGAGAAAGATCTACAAAAAGAAATTAACTCTGTAAACCAGAGATTTAATATTTCTATCGAAAAAGTTAAAGAACCTTATAGACAGCCTAACATTCTTGTAGAATATATAGCTTTCCAATCAAAAAATAGAGTTTCATTCCAAAAGGCAACGAAAAAATCCATTGAATTAACTAAAAAAGCAGATATAAGGGGAGTAAAAGTAAAAATTGTGGGCCGTCTCGGAGGGAAAGAAATTACACGAGCCGAATCCATTAAAAAGGGTAGACTTCCCCTCCAAACAATTCGCACTAAAATTGTTTATTGCTGCTATCCAATTCGGACTATCATGGAGTATTAGGTGTAAAAATTTGGATATTTGTAGATGAAGAATAAGTAATCTATTCTTCGGATTCTGTCCATTGATAGAATGAAAAATGACAAGAGACTTTTTTCCTGAAATCCCCAAAAAAGAAGAAATTATACCTCTTTCTATAAGATTTAATGAAAATTGATAAATCATTTAATATAATTGCTATGCTTAGTGTGTGACTCGTTATTTTTTTTCTTTTTTTAAGAAAAAACTTAGTAATTATAGAAAATTAACTAATAACAAACCTATTGCTTCGTATTGTCGAGATCCTAACTAAGAAACAGTCACTATATGAGTAAATACCTCTATCATAAATGAGTAGATGTGTCATATAGTTGTAGCAACTGCAATTTTTTTCTCTAAAAAAGAATAGGGATTCTAGGTTGTGAAGCAAAACTAAAGGGATGTGGATAAAGGGGGGATGATAGAAAGGAGGAAGACGAAATAAATAAGATATAGGATTCCACTATATATGGTCTATGAATTACATCATAAAAGGCAATGTGATAAAGCATCAATATAATAAAAATAATAGAGATTTTAAAATTGTAACTTGAAACAGAAACAAGAACTACAAATTTAAAGCAATAATAAAGAGCTGCCCGGGTTAATAAAACTAAGAAAATTAACTCGGAAAGAATTTTTGGGAAGCACGTAGGCCACTTTGTGAAGGTGTTTTTCAAACTTTTTTTACTACAAGTTCACATAAAAGGGCTCTGTGCACAAGGATTTCATTTTTTGAGTCCTTTTTAATTTTCTTTGATTTTTTCAAAATATGGTCAAACGTGCAATGTTGACAAATCCTAGTAGATGGTTGGGAATTTCAACTTTGGTTGTGCCCAGTACCTACACCACCAATTCAAAAGCTAAACGTTATTTTTCCAATTTTTAGGACCAGGATACATGACACCTGGAGTTCAAATTTGACAAAGTTCTGATAAATCTCTAGAAATTCAGTAAATGGATGAAATATAGAAATAAAATAAGATAGCTCATAAAACTTGGGCAGTCTGCATCCAATGTGGTCTACTTTGGATAAAAAATGGCAAGACCAATTTTATAACTAATTTCACGCACTTACTTCACAAAAAAGTCATTTTGAGCACTTGAAAAATGGAAAAGTAAGATTTTATTCGAAAAATATAATTGCTATGCAAACATTGTCCACCATAATAACACCCATGGGTGGGCTAAATTTGGATATGTTATTATGAACTATAACATGGATGTGGCCATGACCATGGGCATATGCCTAGAAATACATAAAAGTTCATAGTAGATAGGCCATTTTGTGAAAATAATCAATCTTGTTTTATTGCAAGTCTATGATTTTTCCTAGTAACTAGTTCACACAAAATGGATCCACGCACAAGGATTTCATTTTTTAGGCTTTTTTCATTTTCTTTGTTTTTTTTCAATATGTGGTCAAACTTGCAAGGTTGACTAATCCTAGCAGATGGTTGGGAATTTACACTTTGCTTGTGTCCAGTGCCAACACCACCAATTCAAAAGCTAAACATGATTATTTTTTTCAATTTTCAGGAACAAGATACATGACACCTACAGTTCAAATTTGACCAAGTTCTAATAAATCTCTAGAAATTCAATAAATGGATGAAATATAGAAATAAAACTGGATAATTTGTGAAACTTGGGCTGTGTGCATCCAATGTGGTCTAGTTTGGATGAAAATGCCAAGACCTAATTTTATAATATATTTCAGGCACTTCATAGAAGTCATTTTTAGCACTTGAAAAACGAAAATTAAGTTTTTATTCCGAAAATTATATAATTGTTATGCAAACATTGTCCACCACGGTAACGCCCATGGTTGTGCCAAATTTGGCCATGTTGTTTTGAACTATGCCATGGATGTGGCCATGACCATGGGCATATGCCTTGAAATCCATGCAAGTTCAAAGTAGATAGGCCATTTTGTGAAGTTTTTTTTCAAACTTGTTTTATTGCAAGTCTATGATTTTTCCGAGTAACTAGTTCACACAAAAGGGCTCCATGCACAAGGATTTCATTTTTTGAGGCTTTTTCATTTTCTTAGATTTTTTAAAATGTGGTCAAACTTGCAAGGTTGACTAATCCTAGCAGATGGTTAGGAATTTCAACTTTGGTTGTGGCCGGTGCCTATACCACCAATTCAAAAGTAAACATGACTTTTTTCCAATTTTTAGGACCAAGATACATGAAACCTATTGTTCAAATTTGACCAAGTTCTGATAAATCTCTAGAAATTCAGTAAATGGATGGAATATAGAAATAAAACTAGATAATTCATGAAACTTGGGCAGTGTGCATCCAATGTGGTCTACTTTGGATGAAAAATGGCAAGACCAAATTTAATTTATTTTAGGCACATACTTCACAACCAGGGGGGCCATTGAAAAGTAACCGGTCTATCTAGGCTCTGGTTATATATTGTTCAGTCAACAAGGGGTCTTTTGAAAAAGTTATAGCTCTCTCTGCTCCGAGATGGCTCGTACGCCTGCCATCATGAGGGCAGAGCCATGCGGCGGTGCGCCATTGCCACCACCACCGCCCTTCCCGCCACCGGGCAGTCCCGCCAATACTAGATGCCATGAAAACAATCTCCCACCCTCGACGCTCCACTCCCCACACTCCCCTTATTAAATACCGACATCAGGCATCTTTCCACTAACGCTTCACTCCATTGCTCCCACGCACTACGCAATCCAAATCTATTTCAGCCGCTATGGTGAAGCAGCTAAAGACCGCAAGGATCTCCATGGGTGGTCTTTGCCCAAGGGCGCCAGTGCCCGACACCGGCAGCGGATCCAACTCGGACACGGGCTCCAAGAACGACGCTTCCTCGGCGGGCTCGGGCTCCAACTCCAACTACACCGAGCTCGAGCTCACGTCGTCCAAGCTATCTCATAACCGTAGGGAACTCAAGGAGGAGTTGGCGTTCGAGGCGATGCAGGAGCACCTCAACGTCCATGACGTGGAAGATGAGGCCGAGGAGGACACACTGGATCCAGGTACGAGGCTTCCATGCTCACTGCCCAAGCCAAGGAGGCCCTGCGTGCGGAGCAGCAGCAGCTCGGCCAGGCGATGCTAGCCGCGTCCCTGTCCATGGTGCAGGCAGAGGCTATCAGGTGTCAGGTGGCTGAAGAAGAGGCCATAGCTCGAGAGCAGAGGAGGGCGGTGACCCTGCATGCAGCAGCCACCGTCGAGGCGGAAGGAGAGGGAACCGACGTTGTCCTATCCTCCTCCGGTGACGAAGACCACAATGACGACGACAACACCAACGTCCCTTCAACGATGAAGACAAGTAGTCGTCCAACTATTGGCGCCGGCCAGTCATCTTTTGTCACCCTAGTTATTATTTTGTATTAGTTTAAGGAATCTCTAAGTGTAATGTCACTATGTCTGTTCGCTCTGTTTTAGCGTTGAACAAATCTAAATATTCTTGTTAAGCACATCTGAATTTTGAATCTCTGAATCTGCTGTGTTTTACACTACCGTGTCTGTGTTCTATCTTTCCAGGGTCACTGATTCGTGGGCCCTTATGTAACGTAGAAAATATTAGGTCATATAGCCAAGTGTCTGCCCATAATCACACAGACACACACAGCTGAGATGGCTCGCACGATGCATATTCAACCGTTGCTCTCAGGTTCCACCCCCACGGGCGGCATTATACTCCACCCTGTGTTCTGCAAATAAATCAAACATTGACATGTGGTTCCTAGGGTGTCCCATGCGTCTTTATATTTCACTATTTTCCCAAATAAACTAGAGACTGGCGGGTGGGACCTCGGTGTCCCACGCATTAGTATATGCGCCAGGTAATAGTAAACTGCATTGATCCAATGGAAACACTCTGTTTTGGGCATTCTTGAGTGGTGGAGGGGAGAAGTGAGGGGTGTTAATTAGGTGGGGTAAAACTGAGGAGTACTAAGCAACCGTGGGCATAGAAATAGAAACCACTAATTTTAAACCTAAATAATTGTTATTTGGTGCATGCTTTAAGCATGAACATTATATCTGGATCGTGTTTATTGTGAGATGGTTATTCATTAAAGTCAGAGAATAATGGTTGTTCTATTTATATGAATATTACCTTTTATGGTCACGCACCCAATGTGAATGGTTTATTCTTGTTGAATCTCGATCGTAGTGATACACATGTTCATAATTGATGACCCACAAGTATAGGGAATCAATCGTAGTCCTTTCGATAAGTAAGAGTGTCGAACCCAATGAGGAGGAGAAGGAAATGACAAGTAGTTTCCAGGAAGGTATTCTCTGCAAGCACTGAAATTATAAGTAACAAGTAGTTTGACAGCAAGATAATTTGTAACGAGAAAGTATCAGTAATGGTAACAAAAGTGCAGCATGGTAGCCCAATCCTTTTGAGGCAAAGGACAGGCCAAAACGGTCTCTTATGATAAAAAAAAGTGTTCTTGAGGATACACGGGAATTTCATATAGTCACTTTCATCATGTTGGTTTGATTTGTGTTCGCTACTTTGATAATTTGATATGTGGGTGGACCAGTGATTAGGTGATGCTCTTACTTGAACAAACCTCCTACTTATGATTAACCCCCTCGCAAGCATCCGCAACTACGAGAAAAGTATTAAGAATAAATCTAGCCATAGCATTAAACTTTTGGATCCAAATCAGTCCCTTACGAAGTAGCGCATAAACTAGGGTTTAAGCTTCTGTCCAAGTTCCACCTCGAAACGGCAGCGCTTCATCCCGAAAGTCCTCTCTTTATTTTTTTTCTAGGTCAAAATGACCTATATACCAGAAGAGGGGCACCGGAGGTGGGCCGAGGAGGGCACAACCCACCAGGGCGCACCTAGGCTTCCTGGCGTGCCCAAGTGGGTTGTGCCCACCTGGTGGGCTGAGGGAGTCCTGGACTAAAGGGTCCTCGGGCGTCCGGCCTGTTGGACATGGGTCGGACTGATGGGCTATGAAGATACAAGACCGAAGACTTTCACCGGTGTC